GCTGTTTGTTTCCCGCGGCAGAGCCCCGGGCTCACCCGAGCTGGAGTAGTGGTACAGCTCCGTGTAGGGCTCGATGTGCACGGACGCGCCGAACGGGATCTGCGGCACGCGGCCCTCCAGCTCCGTGTCGATGGTCAGGTGCCCGTGCTCGTCAATGCCGCTGAACCGCTGCTTCATGACCAGCTTGCCCGGGTGCCCCACAAAGGTCACCTCGGCCTGGCGGGTGAACTCGCCCCCTGGAACGCAAGATCGGCCTGTCACTTTGCGGTCTGGCGGGCGCACCCTTCTGCTGCCGTTGGCTCACAGTGTACAGCCATGCAGAGCGGGGCTGCGCCAGCGTCCTCTGTAGGTGCTTTAGTTGGGCTGGTTGAACGTGGGGTTGGGGACACTGAGGACAGAGCCCAGACAACCGCGTGGCCCAACTGAGCCATGCACAGAGGAGAGAAGCTGCTCCCCAGCCATAAACCAGCATCTGAGATGGATGGGTTGGCTCAAGGGTTGTGCTGGAAATAGCAGGGACTGGGGTTTGGCTCCCACTGTGCTAGGTTCTGGCTGGGTGAACTTGAATAAGTTGCTTAACCCCTGTAAGCCTCCATTTCCTGATGATAAAAAAGGGATCCAATCCATCTTGTGGAAATCAGATGAGATAAAGTATGTTTAAAAAGTGTTCTGCAAATTGTCAAGGGCGCCATGATTCCAGTTATGGTGATAACTATTGAAATAGCTAAGTCCTGGTCTGGACGGGTGAGTTGCTCAGGGAAAACCATCACCCGTACCAGAAACTGCCTTAGGGTCACGAGGCTATGGTGTTGGCTCAGGAAGGCCCCTCAGGCTACATCTGGCTGGATGCCTGTTTTTGTACAGCCCTTGAGCCAAGAAAGGTCCTTACACTTTTAAATGGTTTTTAAAAATCGAAATAATAATATTTCATGTAAAAATGTAAAAATTGTCTGAAATTGAAATCAGTGCCCATTAATACAGTTTTATTAGAGCACAGTCATGCTAGTTCATTTACATATTGCCTATGCTTGCTTTTCACTCCACAATGACAGAGTTGAGTAGCTGCAATAGAGACCATACGACCTAAAATATTTAGGTGAAGCTTAAAATATTTACTGTCTGGGTCTTTGCAGAAAAAGTCTGACAATCCCAGCTTTATAGTGACCTAAGTCCCAGGCAGATATCCAACTGATAACACAGGTCCGGGGGAAATTCAGAAGGATCATTGTAGTAACAAAGATTTCCTGTTGCAGGGAATTTGTGAAAACTCCCTCTCCCTCAGCCCAGCCCAAGTCAACGTATATTACAAAGTATCACTGATGTAAATGAACCCACATACAAAGCAACACCCATGTGAAAAGCTGTGCAGGGAAGGAATGGGGTGTGTGAGTCTGACTGCAGCTCAACTATGTTTGCATGAGAGCATGAATATCTTATAATTCTCAGAATATATATGCCCGCGGAATAGAAGAAAAAAAACATTAGGCCAAAAATTAGCAAATCTTATGACTAGGTTCACGCCTTTTCTTATCTATCTATCTATCTACCCTCTCCTTTCTTAAAATGGCCACACTTCAGGAAGTTGTGTATTTATAAGCTATAACTTCTAGAAGGTTTCCCAGTGCAAAGCCTGGGTGGAGATCCTGCTCCCAGCAGTGTTTCCACTAACAGAGCCTTGCCTGGGGCTCCATGTTGGTTCAGGCCAACTTGGTCAGGGAGAAGGCAGGTCTAGGTAGTCTAGTCAGAGGTGGTGGCTTTGTACCTGTGTCCTGGCACAATGGGTTCCAGGTTCTGGAGGTGACCAGCAATGAAGGACACAGACTCCTCCACCTCAGCTGTTCCCAGGAACAGGCCTCCAGCTTGCACAGGTGGCTTGCCTTGGCCGAGCAAGGGAGAGGCCACCACTACACCAAGGAAACGTCCCCCAAATGATCTGCCCACTCATCCGCTAAAGACTGAATCTTCCACACTCTCTAAGAAACTCCAGGGACATTCAGGTTTCCTAACACTCGTGAGGATTATTTTTATTGGGCTTAATTTACCAGCTAGAAATGACAGGTTCTTTTTCTCTCAGCAGATACATAGGAAATGTCAAGGATCAACTTCAAATTGGTTTGGAATTTGGAGGCAGGCTTTTGGTTGTATGGATATATGAGCTTGTTCTGCAGAGACTTCTGACCTCCACCGTGAAATTGCTCCTTGATCATAACACAATTCTAGGCAGTCTCAGTTAATATACAGTATTGAAAATCTTATATGTTAATTTCACCACATCATCTTAGTTCCAGGGCAGAACTACAGGCTGCTCTGTCTATAGACAAAAAGGAGTCACAGAATGCTTATCAGTAAGTTGACTGCAGACAGTTCCCTTTCCATTCATTCCCAGGCCTGCCCCCAGGCACCAACGTGTGGCCCATTAATTTCAATGTCAGGTATAAGTTACCAGTGATGCTGAACCCATTCCTGAATCCGTCCTGCTCCACCGCAAACATCCATCCGATGATGCCTCCAATCGGGGCCAGAGGAAGCAGAGAGTACCCGAGGGTCTCGGGAATGGTGCTGATGGCCGTGTAGGAGCGTCCGTGGTTCATGACCACGTAAGAGTGGAGGTCAGTGTTCTCAAATGCAATGGGGACCTGGCTGGTCCCCACAAAGATCCTTCCTTTCACTTTGCCATTGACTCGCTGGGGGGAACCTGAGCAGAAAACAAAGAAAGGAGGTAGAGATGGCTTCCAAGCCAGGCTTTCAAACATAAACATCTCTGGTAGGACCTGTGGCTTTGGGGTAAGTGAAAGTCGTTGTTCTTCTGGAGAGCACCCACGACTGAGTGCCATGAACCTTCAAAATTCCAATGCCCCTGCCTCTCTTTCATGTTATTGATAATGGGTAGCAGGAAAGGGCTTCGCCGGAGCCATTGTGTGATCAAGGAGCTGCAGGAGCAGATAAAATAATTTCCGGAGAAGAACACTATCAATGGTGATCTAGAACTAAGGTGACCACAGAACTGACCACTTTTGAGAGTAAAAGGGGCTAAACTGGTTATTTCACTGGGACAGCAGGGCCAACTGATTAGCCCTGAGAATCTGGTCATTTGGCTGCCTGATCAATCACACACCTTAACAAACATCCTGGGCCCAAATACAGTCTCACTACTCAGGGTTAGGATTGACAGTCTAGGGTCAGGACTTCCAAACCCAGCTCCCTCATTCTTGGCAGAGTTTTCTTTGCATAATAAGTGCTCAGTAAATTTTGTCAAATAACCCTAGATAGACAGGCTTGTACCTAGGTGTCATCTATGTTCTGATGACCTTTTGCTGTGTTCGATATGCCCAAACTGCACCAGGGCATTTTCAGCCTACACGGTAATTCCGTACACATGACGTGTCATTACACTGGGGAATGCTGTGAAGTTAGCAGGCCAACAGCAAAAAAATGCATTCCAAGCACAGTTACAGAAATAAGCAAGAAAGCCAAGTTAAGGAAACCAAACAGAATTTTTTCCAGCAAACTTTGAGCTAGCAACATTTTTTAAAGTAGCAAGAATCCAACAAATATTTAAACCAGAAAACTATTACAGGGTGTGTATATAATGTCAAAATATGTAGCTGAACAATTTGTCATATCTGAGCTTGCTGCCAAACACAAACCGCTCAGCATTTCAAGCTCTGATATTTGGGGTGGAGAAGGCCAATGAGGTTGCTCTTTAAGTATAAGCTTTTATTGTGGACCTTGGAAGCTTCTGCCCGGGTGGGGGAGATAAAAAAGCCAAGCCTGAAACAGAGAGGCAAAGGCACGCCATCCCTGGGGTGATGGGATTTAGAAGAAAATAGAAAACACTTTAAAGAAGTTAAAAACATTTTCCAAAATTAATATAAAAAGTATACTAAATTTTCTTTCACTGCTGAAGGCAATATTTTTAAAAAGCCTCACTATAATTGTGATACAGAAGGAAATAATTTTTTTTGTCTTTAGCAAATTAAAATAACTGACTTAACTATAGCTACGGCAGGGGGTCTGAAAAACAGAAAACACTCCTCCAACTGAGTTTTATTTAGTCGGCTTTTGCAAAGCAATTGAAGTTCCCCGTTAAACACACGAAGGAAATGACCTGTGACGAGTGAGGTAACCTGTTGGCACCCACCATGGGTTCGAACGTGTCCCCTGTGAAATTCATGTTGAAACTTAATCCCCAATGTGGCGGTATTGAGAGGTGGGGCCTTTAAGGGGTGACTGTGTCATGAGGGCTCTGTCCCCAAGAACGGATTAACCCATTCATGGATTATGGGTCATCCCAGGAATGGGACTGGTAGTTTTACGGAAAGAGGAAGAGAGAGACCTGAGCCAGCAGGCTCAGCCCCCGCACCATGCGAAGCCCTGCACCACCTCAAGACTCTGCAGGGTCCCCACCAGCAAGAAGGCCCTCCCCAGACGCAGTCCCTCGACCCTGGACTCCCCAGCCTCCATAACTGTAAGACATAAATTTTGTTTCTTTATAAATTACTCCATTTCAGGTATTTGGTTATAAGCAACCGATGAGGACAACATCTAAAGGGACAAAGATTCAATACAGCGGAGATTTTTGTTGTTTTTGTTTTCATTCGGGTATATGGCCCCAGCCTCCCAGACGTTGCACTCAGTACACTGTTGCCAGGACCCCCTGGACTCGCACAGAAAGGATTTTTCTGACCATCCGAGAGCATGAAGACCAGCTGGTCCTTCTGATGAGGGCAGAGTTCAGAACTGACGTCGGCCGGGAGCCGAATCCATTTTGCACCCCACAATGGGATTGGCGCCCCAGGATTAACTGTGAGGCACCCCTGATGCTCCCCCATAACCATGCTAGGATTTCAGGGGCACCAGGAAAGAGAAACAGAAGAGGAAGGATGACTGGAATAAACTTTACCCCACTATAAACTCCGGCCTGAGCCTTCCTCCTGTGGCCCTGCCAGGCTTTGTCACCCAATAAGACAGTCAGGTCTGTGAGCAACGCCACAAGAAATTTGAGACTCTAAGGAAATTTGAGACTCCAAGGAAAAAGACATGGAAGAAATTTGAAAGAAACTAAGGAAAATGAAGGGCATGAAAAACTTCTGGTCCAGGCAGGACTTTTTTCAACCCTTTGGCCTTCGTCCCATGCTCAGGGCTGTTGTGAAGAGGGGCTCCCAGAGAGGGAGAAATAGCACAGGAAGCAAAGAGACACTCGCCATGTGAGAAATATGGGCACTCGCCAGGAACGCCTGTCAGAGAGCAGGAGAAAGAATGGGGAATGCGAGATTTCTTATCGCTGCCATGTTATTACATATAAACACTGCACACCTCCAGTAAAGGCAACCCTGAAAAACAAGCACCAAAACAAAACTCCACTCCTGCTCCTTCTCCCCCACACATGGAACGTATAGAAGCAGATTACCTTCCGCAACACACTGCCTGCCGTTGCCCGTGTAGCCAGCAACGCAGCTGCAGCAGAAGCCCGTGGCGAAGTCCCTGCACTCCGCGTGCACCGAGCACTGGTGTCTGTTGTTGGCACACGTCTGGCGGGAGTCCGTGTTGTAGCTGAAAACTGTTCCAGGAAAACAAGGGCACACTTGTCAGCATTTCGCACAGCTCTGGCCCAGGGGTTTTCTCAGCCCTGCGTCCCCTCAAGCCCTGCAGGGACTCACTTCTGCCTGGGCAATTCCAGGGACCAGACTCGTTAACAGAAGATTAAAATCCTCTACAGGCAGCTACTTAAATAGTACAGTAGTGTGTAGTGCTCAAACCACTGAGGCAAATAGGTCTAAAGGGAGTTGAGAAATCGAATTACTCAAAACTGCTATAATTCAATATCAATTTTAGGATGGTATCCATGTAATGCAGTCAGAAGGATCAGCTTCACATTTTAAAAAATATATATATTTTTTCCTTTTTTTATTATGGTAAGATATATATATATAAAACATAAAATTTCCCATTTTAACCACCTTACTCTCTATTTTTTTTTTGAGATGTGATCTCGCTATGTTGCCCAGGCTGGTCTCAAACTCCTAGGCTCAAGGGATCCTCCCACCTCAGTCTCCAGGTAGCTGGGACTGCAGGCATGTGCCACGGTGCCCGGCTTATATTTTTAAAAAATTTTAAACCATTCCCCGTCCCTCCGCCCCCTTTTCCCCAGGGAATAATTCACTTATACCAAAGCTGATCAAAACTAATGCCTTAGTCACACCTGGTAAAAGCTTTTGACCCAAGAAACAAAAAGAATTACTCCCTCTATTTTTAAATTCCACCTCCCAAGTTCATTTCATTAGAATCATGAACTAGCTCATTAAATTTAATAACTCAGAGCAAATTAATTTGGAATGAAGTTCAAAAGCACAAGAGGGTTGAACTTTTAGAGAGGCTAATGATCCCATTTATAATTGACTGTTAAGAGTGAAGATAAAAGTAAAGTTTAAACCCAGGTAGATACTTGGAAGAAAATTTCTAGCGTGTATGAAGATGGCATTTAGAGCTGAAAACATTCAGGCCCTGAACTGAACACGTGATGCTGCTGACTGCTGAAGCTCCAGCTGGGGGCAGCTCTCCTTGGGTCCATGATAGCCTGCATATGTGTAGACGACTATTCAGATAACACCAGGAATGCACTGCTGGCTGCACAAGGCTGATCTTTCTAATAAACGTAGGGAAACAGCTGGGATAGAGGGACAGAAAAACATCTGTGTTAGACACATTCTGGGTTCAAATCTAGGCTTTTTTCAGTATCAAGTTGTTGGGGCAAGATATGGTCTCATTTAAATGTGACAGCTACACAAATGAAAATTTCAGAGATATCTAGAAAGGGTGGAGACGGGGGTAAGACTCAAAAGTCAACATCTGCAAGTAAACACACCCAACACATCTGGGGGAGATGACTCTGAAACACATGGCAGAAAGCCATGGGCTGGGAGATGTCGGCATCACCCCAGGAATCCAGGGTGCAGTGTGTGTCAGGGACCCCTGAGGCATGAACCCGTGTTCTCATCTGGCCACCAAACTGCAGCTTCTCCATTTCTGTGCCTTAGAAGTAAGTGAGCAAACTATTCGGTAAGCATCCCATTTTGCCTGTGGTTTAGGATACTCAATAAGAACAAACACTTATGACTATTGCCGTGAGACACATCAGAACAAATAAGGAGAAATGAAAATAAGAGGCTGGGCTGGAGCCTTTAATCCCAGCTACCTGGGAGGCTGGGGTGGGAAGATTGCTTGAGGCCAGGAGTTTGAGACCAGCCTGAGCAACATGAGACCTCATCTTTCTAAAAAATTTTAAAAATAGGAGAATAATGTGGAATGAACTACTTTTCGGAGGATCTTATCATAACTCCTTAGTAGATGCAGTAAAGAGTCACAGTAAACGCATTTCAAAGCTTAGACTATCAAATTTATAGGAACCTTCATGGATTATATGTCAATCTAAAGAGAAGAAAATAGCCAGGCGCGGTGGCTCACGCCTATAATCCTAGCACTCTGAGAGGCCGAGGCAGGAGGATCGCTTTGAGCCCAGGAGTTCGAGGTTGCAGTGAGCTATGATGACGCCACTGCACTGTAGCCTGGGCGACAGAACAAGACTCTGTCACAAAAGAAAAATTAAAGAGAAGAAAATAAGGAGCACAGTTTAGTTTGAACATCTCTTTTAAGACAAATAAAAGCATGCTGGGGTTCAAATTATTTTCCCTCAAAATGTAGCAAAAAACTGATGTAATATGGTTGACTGGAAGATATTATACTATAAAACTATTTTTTTAAAAGGGGAGCTACTTATTTTGTATTTTTTCATCTTCTTAGACCAACTCTGAAACTGACAGGACTTGGAAGGAAAAATAATCAACCATTCTAATTCCAAAACCAAGAGGAAATATATGTGTCATCGATAAGTTGGGTAAATAGCCAAAAGAACTTCTAAAATGTTTTTTCAGGTGGGTCAAATACATTTCTGATCTCAGAAGTCACAAATAAGAAAATCTGACTTTCAAAATAATTCTAAAGCATGTGTTTCTCTTTAAAAAGCACAGAATGGAATACTAGGAAACTTAAAAGAAGACAAACTCAACGGTCTCTATAACCACAGTCCTAATCCCGAAAGATCACTGGGCTTTGAAGCCATCAGGCATATGACACCAATGCTCTATGGCTGTGGGCATTCAGCCCCTCCTTCCCCAAGCTCTTATCCTTACAAACCCCCACATACTGTACACAACTGACACCCCTCCAGCAGTACATTTGTCTGGAAGCCCAAGGGTCCAAGAAGGTCACCAACTGCGACGTCAATGTTCTTACCAACCCCTGTTTCTTCAACTTCGTCCACATCTATGACCTGTGCGTGCTGCTGGGGAAACTTCTCTGCAAGCAACTGGAAAGACCTGGTCCTCTCAGTGGGAGATCCAGAGGATCTCTCTGTGGCCGCCTGGCGTGGGGAGAGGACACCAGGGTGGTTGTATGTGTTGGCATCTCCCCTTCTAGGATTCCCGTAGGGGAAAAATGTGGTGCCCGCATCCTCCAGGCCCAGACGGGTGGTCGCCAGGTCATAATCTTCATCCTCCTCATCGTCATACACTGCTCCGTCGTCAGGTCCAAGGTTCACATCCGCGGGCACCACGCCACTGGCCGTGACCGGACTCCCAATCTCAAACACCCAGACGCCCTGCTGTCCGGAGTTGCTGCTCCTAGGGAGAAGGACGGGCTTCTTGGAAACAGGCCAGCAACACACAAATAGCCCCCACTAAGCACACAGGAGTCCTGGGGATTCGTGTGCATCTGAAACCCGTCACCTGCTCCCTCTGGCAGCAAGGGCTGGACAGTGGAAGAGCAGTAGCTGTCCTGTCTGTTTGTCACTGAGCTGAGACAGTCCAGGGCTGTTTGCTGAGGCTGTGTCCAAACGGGCATGTCACTAACAAAGGCTCACCCTCAGCCATGCCTGAGGCGTGTTCCGGGGACGTCGCTGGTACTTAAAATTCAACTTACTCATACTACTTCCTGGGAACGTGCCCTATGAGCTAAGGTAGCTCATGTGACTGAAGGTGGCTTTATGACTGAAGTCATTCATTTTCTCCACTGTCTCTTTCCATGGCGTGGTGTGACATAATAAAAATATATATTTGGCCTTTGTCCCTGAAAACTGGCACAAGAGCTCCTGAAACCCTTGGAATTTCTGGAGTGATAAGAGTGCCTTCTTGTATGCTAATGAGTTGACTGGTGGCTGGGGGCTCCCAGACAGCTTCAGGATGAAGGCTGGTGGCCAGTAAGACCAAGGCAGGATTAAAGGGTGGGAATGTTCAGCCCATCCCCCCGTCCCCGGCCCCCACCTCCACGGAGGGCAGATGGGCTGGAACTTGAGCCAATTACCGAGGGCCAGTGATTTAATCAGCAACGCCTGTGTAATGAGGCCTCCATAAAAACCCCTAAATGATAGATGTTGAAGAGCTTTTGTGTTCGTGAACATATCAAGGTGTTGGAAGGGTGGTACGTCCAGATAGGGCAAGGAAGCTCTGCCCCCCTAGTATCTCCTCCATTTGGCTGTTCCTGAGTTGTCACCTTTAATAAACTAATAATAGTGAGTAAAGCACTTTCCTGAGTTCTATGAGCCATTCTAGCAAATTATCAAACCTAAGACGGGGTCATGGAAACCCCTGATTTATAGCTGGCTGCTCAGAAATACAAATGGAAACGCAGGACTTGCAACTGGCGTCTGAAGTGGGGGCCGTCTTGTGGGACTGAGCCCGCCACCCGTGGGGCTGCACTAACTCCAGCACCAGAATTGAAATGAATTGTAGGACGCCACACAGGTGTCCCGAAAGTGGAGAAGTGGTTGGTGTGAGGGGGAAAAAACCACATATTTGATGTCAGAAGTGCCATGGGTGATAATAGTGCAGACGTGGTTTACTTGAAATCCCAACTCCATTGGCTGTGGGATCTTGGGCAGGTCTTTATTTCTAACCTCGTACTCATAGATAAAATGATAGAAACTGTTTTAAATGAGGATGATATCTAAAAAAATAGGATACCTGTTCATTTGAAGAGTATATTCCCTTAAACTCATTGGAAAAACAGTATATCATAATATAAAAATGATATACAAAACTTAAATCCATAGGAACATTTGTAGGTATGATCTCTAATACCCAGCACATTATTCTTAATGAGACAATCACATAAGGGGAGAATGTACTGAAGAACAAAGAAAGCATACTTGGCCAAATTTTCAATCGATTCTCTGTCATTAGCAAATATGTTATAAGCGCCATCGCTCTTCCATAGGATCCCCACTAAACCTTGACTGAACGCGACCACAGCAGGGACCTGGTTCTCGTCCTTCTTTGAGAACGTCGTATGGAACTGCAGACCGTCTTCAGGGTAAAGGAAAATGGCATAGGAGCTGGAATCAGAGGAGGCCAGAACAGCCTGGAACGTGTTTCTCTGTGAAGACGAGTTACAACTCAGTTACTCAGGAAGGTATCTACAGATTGTAAAATGTATTATTCACCAGACTAATGTAAAAAGTACAGTACTGCGAAGAGATGGCAATATTCTCACCTTATTCTAAAAGACATACTTTTGCAGTGAGGACCAAGTATTCCAGGATAGCTCCACTGACATATAGCCCTAAGGCTATGTCAACAAGAAATTTTCTGATTAATTAATAAATATCTTCTGCATTAATGTGACCCTAAGGTTAACCAAAAATTATACAGATGGTCCCTGAAGATGGTGGCCTAAAGCTCATGCAACTTAGGAAATTCTTGCTGACAGAATTTGTTTCCATGGCCATTAAACATATTCAATCATATTCATCATTTAACAAATATTTATTGAGCCCAAGCTCCACAGAGCAGAAAATAACATACGGTTTGGGAGAAAATAGACCTGGATCCAAATCTTTGCTCTACCCATTATTGGTTGTGTGACCTGGGGCATGATCCTGAAGCTCTCTAAGCCCCAAAGTCTGTAACTATGAAATGAAGATAAAACCATCTACTTCATAGATACATGAGGAAGACTACATGAGGTAACATATGAAGGGCCAGGCACAGAGAAAGTGTTCCTTAAACATTAGTACCTTTCCTACATGCCAGATGCTGCCCAGAGCTCTGTGGATATGAAGAATAAAAATACACGGTCCCTGCACTGGAGAATTTACAGTCTAGATGGGAAGACTGACATGCGAACAAAATACTACAAAACCAGGGATGGATTCTATAGCAGAGATGTGTGCAGAGCACTGTGGGAGCTGTAGGAGGACGTGTCCCATGCCGGGAGTGGTGGGAGTGGAGGAGGCTGTGGTGCACCAAGGCCTCACAGAAGGGACAAATCTGAATGAACAAGCAGGAGGAGTTGACTCCTGTAGGGGTCAGGACGTCCCAAATAGAGAGGACAACCTGAGCAAGATACCGCAGGTGAAAAAAGAAGGCATGATCAGGCAATTGCAAGTCATTTGGCATAGCTCCTACACAGGGGTATGGAGGTGTAACAGATCAGGCCCAAGAGGCAGACAAGGGCTTGGTACCAAGGGGCTGGGGGTTGGGCGTTTCTCACCAAGTGAAAGGGAGGCATCTGAGAAATTTAAGATTCGAGCGGTTCTCAAGTACGGCACTCACACGGATAACAGCTGGCAGGCAAAATGTGCCACGCAGGCCCGTAACAGACTCTCCCAAAATGTGTTCTGTGGGATGTGATGTGTCCTGTTTGGGGGGTTATTGGGGAGGGAGGTATGGCCAAAAGGTCTGGGAACTGCTCAGTTAAACAATATTAAGCAGGTTTCTTTACTGCAGGACTTTTCAGAGTGAGTCTCGGAAAGGGGGAGATATAGTTTTAGCATTCCCCAAACTAATCTGGCCAGGGGCGGCAACTTTCTCCCAAGGACTATCTCACAGGACTGGTGTTTTGTGGAACATACTTTGGGAACTACCAGCCTGGAATATCTCCCATTTACATGGATGCTTTGCAACCTTTCATGTTTCTCTCTACCCTGTTATCCTATAAAAAATTCAGTAATGGTAGAGAGAAATTATTTTTCCACGGAAAAATTGAGGCCTGTCCTAAAAAGTCACTCCAGGTCTAGCAGCGGCTTCTCAACCTACTCCAATACTCTCCTTCCTTCAAGGGTAAGTCCAAGCCTGGTGCTGAAAGCCTTCACCCACAGAAACTCCCATCCCGGGTTATGATAACACAGGTTCTAAACCACTCACATGGTCCAAATGGTTCTTGGCTTCCCAACTAGAGTCTGGGCCTTGTCTTTGTATCTTCACATCCCTCAGGAGTACTTGGTTATTTTATCCTATTATTTCACATCAATAACATCTCCATTTAATCAGAAACTTTCCTTCCAATATCTGCCACTTGAAGTAAAACAGCCAGGGGATGCCATTTATCAACGCTATTCTTGCCACATGGCAGCCTTCTCAGGAAGTGTCTTTCTTTATATCTAATCACCATTGAAACATAGATTTATATAGCCTTGCAGATAAGATTTTGTGAGTTTTCGGCCTGCAATCACCAGCTTACTAGGTTTTGCTCTGGATTTTCTATCTTTATCAATAACATAGGCATGATGTACATCAGAGCAGCACAGACCACACAACTGAAGAGTTCAAAGCCAACATGTCAGATTATTTGCACTTGGACCTAGGGGAGCACTTACCTTGCCTTCCTGGGCAGGGTCCCTGCTGGGCCCTTGGTAGGGGGCCATAGACTCCCAAGTGACGACCACCACACTCCTGGGCTGGAAAGAGACCTCCGGGAACCCTCTCCGGACACACTCTGCTGCCAGCCGAGTGACGGAGGGGGATAAGTCTTCTCGATAATAAACCTTTCCGAGGCCATCTGTGGTGTCCAAGTCCGCCAGGAAAGGCGCGATTGTGCCAAAGGTTGGTGGGAAGAGCCCAGGATGGGATTCTTTGGCCGGGGGTTCACTCATGGCAATGATGCCATTTGTGGTGACCTGTACAAAACCAAGTGTGGTTAAAAGGAATGCAGAAATGACTTCTTCCTCAGTAGGACCCAGATGCTACTGCAGGTACCGATGCTGTGTAAAATACAACAGAATCTGACAAAGACACGCGCCTGAATTGCAAACATTGGTATTCTTTTTCCAGGCAAGATGGGCTGGTGGCAGAATCACAGACGTCATTATTAAAGCCTTAATGAATTTACTCAGCAAACTGAGTAATCATTCTAGGGCGGTGCTAAGTGCTGTGGGACAAAAATGGGTAGAGTCCAGCCCTTGCCTTCCAGGAACCCACAATCCAGGAGAAGAAAGACTGACACAAACAGGCAATGACATAGTCAAATGTCAAGAAGTAAATCTGAACGGGACACTTTGATGTCACTAATTATTTTGAACAGTTTAATGTGTTAGGATAATGGCTAATGTTTATTGAATGTTTATCAAGTTCCAGGCATCTTACTAACATCCAATCCTCAGAAAAATCCCATAAGACTAAGTACTACTGATACCCATATTTTTCTGATGGGGACATTAGGTAAATTCATCAATGTGTCCAAAGTCACCAAGTAACAAGTGGCAACACTGGGATATGAAACCATGGGTGCTGACTCCAAAACTGGCCCTTTTAATCACTCCATGTACAGCCTTCTTGAAATCAATTATAACCACCTCTAAAAATCATATCACTGTTCTTGCTCAGCTAAAACCCACAGTCCTTGGGAACACGGGGAAGGGCCGCTGAGATACCATGGCGAGCAGTCCCGTGGTGTTGGCGGCGCTCGGGCTAACCAATGAGGTCTGACCCCCTTCACTGCCTTATTAGTGTTGACCCACTGGAAGAACATGCCAGCAATCATTTTACTTAGAAAATCTGTGAATTAAAAGAAAAAATTCCCTAATCACATGGCAGAGATTTTGCAAATCGCACCTTATTTTTCTGTTTAAAGGCCACAGATTGGAAAAACATGAATCTAAAATAGCGACTCTCAGTTACTCAGGAGTTGATCTGAAGGCCAGTAGATTTTCCAGCTCACTTCTTTCCCTCTTCCTCCTCCTCCCACAGCCTGTCCTTCAATCCCTTCCTACCTCATTACTAGAGGACAGGGCAGAGGTGGGAAAAAGAGAGGAACTTAACACCAAACACTTGCAACGTGCCAAAACCTGCTAAAGAGGTTCAATGTGCAGAGATGATTTGGCCCCAGAAAAAGAACTAGAGCTCTGGGAGTTAAATGTGGACTTAACGCGACCCCCTTTTTTTACCAAACTTCATGGGCTGTTAGCTCTTTAGGTGACGTATTTTCTATCATTACCTGTCACAAGCAAGACTCTCTAGAATATAATGACAGGCTGCAGAGAAGGGAGTCCGGGGAGGAGCTTCACCCAGCTGTTCTCATACGACTTCCCTCCCAGAGATTCCAGCATCTCCCAGCACACGCGTCCCAGTGCGCTGGTGTGGGAGCGTGGGAAACAGCTCGCTTCCTCAAGCTGCCAGAAGTTGGCAGCGGCCAGATGCTAGTGGGAAGTGATCACACGGAGGCCCCATATAGACAACTTCATTTTAGAGAGCTGTTTTCCAGTGAAATTTAAATCGGTCCAACAATTTTGAAAACACTCGCGGTGTTTTTTATTATTTGGAATCTGGGCACAGGAACGTTTCTATTTTTACAAGCAATGCTTTAGGAATCAGGTTTTTCGACACGTATCTGACGCACTTCAAATGCTTTGGACAAAGATCATATAGCCCTTGTTAGTATTATTATTGGGAAATTATTTTTCAGCTAGTTTTACTGCACATTCAACTCAATGCTCTGTGATAATGAAGAAAGATGACTTCAAAGGTAAATGTAACATGCAGAAAAGACAGGAGTTTCATTAGATTCTTAGCTTTAAACTTCTCCCCCGGAAACTTTTTTTTTCTTTCAGAGACACTAATTAATAGCAAACTTGATGAACAATATTCCTTTACACGTGGGTGCGAGTCTTATTTTGCAAAGTCTGTTGAGCGCATGATGCTCCTACCTGCTTTGTTCCTTTTCTCCATCTTTTGAAGGTGCCATGAGGCTATTCAACAGCAGAAGGGCAGGCAGGACAAGAGGACAGGCCAGAGGCACTTAGGAGGCAGGAGGCACAGACCAGGCACGATCCCCAAGGAAACTGGACTGGAGAGCCCTGGCGTGTCTACATGGTCACAGTGTGCGTAAGGGTGTGTGTGAGCGCCCTGCCATGGGATGGCGCCCTGGCCAGGGTGGGTACCCACCTGGTGCCCTGAGCTGCCGGGAGAGACTCCGGCCACCCATGACCCTGAACTGGAATAAGAGGATTTGAAAATGGATGAATGAATGAATAAAAATTATTGTAAAACAAAAATTTGGGCCGGGCGCGGTGGCTCGCACCTGTAATCCTAGCACTCTGGGAGGCCGAGGTGGGTGGATCCCTCAAGGTCAGGAGTTCGAGACCAGCCTGAGCAAGAGCGAGACCCCCGTCTCTACTAAAAATAGAAAGAAATTATCTGGACAACTAAAAATATATATATAGAAAAAATTAGCCGGGCATGGTGGCGCATGCCTGTAGTCCCAGCTACTCGGGAGGCTGAGGCAGGAGGATTGCTTGAGCCCAGGAGTTTGAGGTTGCTGTGAGCTAGGCTGATGCCACAGCACTCTAGCCCAGGCAACAGAGCCAGACTCTGTCTCAAAAAAAAAAAAAAAAAAAAAAATTTGTCCAGTATACAATAGTCACACAAACACACAACAATAAATGATGTGGGACGAAAGCGCTGAGCGAGCCCCCATGTTGATTATCTTTTGTTTTTGACCTGTGTTGAGGTTGGAGGTGCTCCTGACAACTTTTGCTTTGCAAACATTTATTTCTTGATTGAATCCACCATGACCATGACCTCCGTCACTCACTGATTCAACAAAAATTGGGTAAATAATGATCTTACTTGTTTCTATTATTCTTTCTTAAATGCATGTATAGCTCACATATATTTCAATGTTTAATATTAGAAGTGTTTGGGCCTTTACTTAGGAGTTTGGTGATGCGTTTGTGACCAGAAATATGTAGAAGGAACTTAGCTCTCATTTATATCAATTAGCCTACAGTAAAACTGGTTTCATTAAACAACGTTTTGCTTAAAGTCATGGCAGTTTCCAAGAACCCATCTGTGACATTAAGTGAGGATTCACTGTATATGGCACTTTCTCTGTCCCTGCTACTGCCAGCATCCTCTCCCTGTCTCGTTCATACCCATGGCTGGCTCTTCCTTGTCCTTGAGGCCTCAGCTGAAATAGCACCTTCTCAGAGAGCCTCCCCCAAAACAGTGCAGGCTCCGCCCACTCGACTCCCACCCCACCTCACCTCCTCATTTATATCTCTGCCTCCTGCTTGTTTCCTTCCTACCTGTTTGCAGATGCTGCCTGCTCTCTCCACTATGTGGTCAGTTCCTTGGGATCAGAGACCATCAATCTTGGTCCCCGCTGTAGCACCAGAGCTTACGTGCACCTAATCCACAAGAGCTCCTTCCCTTCTTGACTTCCTCCAACACATGTGGCAGGCAGGTTCAATACAGGTTAAGACCTGTGCACCTAGGTTGTTTTAGAAATCATGCCTGAGGGTGAGCTCAGGGGAAACGACAGGAAAGAACTGGAGAATTATGGTTTCCTGCAGTGCAACACCAGTTACTGAAACAGAGTGCATCAACAGGAACCGACAACTTAAATCCGACCAAGTCTCCACCTCTAACTACCACTTTACAGGAAATACAGGAGACAGAAGAACATATTAAATGACACCACGGGGATTCAATCAGCAAAATTCAAAATATGGGCCACTCGAGCAGACAAATACCCAGTTTCTTTAATAAATAAATTTCAAGGAAAAAAAGGATGGGAGGAACCTGTAGATTTAAAAGTCCTAAGAGACATATCCACCAATTGTAATGTGTGGGCTTTGTCTGGACCCCAATTTAAACATATCAACTGAAAAGCAAAATACAACATTTCATGAAACTATTTGGATATTGGATGATAGTAAGGAATTATTATCATTTTTAAGGTGTGATCATGATTTTACTGCTTTGTTATTTTTTTTTTTTTTTTGAGACAGAGTCTCACTGTGTTGCCCAGGCTAGAGTACCGTGGCGTCATCCTAGCTCACAGCAAACTCAGCTCCTGGGCTCAAGCAATCCCCCTGCCTCAGCCTCCCGAGTAGCTGGGACTACAGGCATGCGCCACCATGCCCGGCTAATTTTTTCTATATATATTTTTAGTTGTCCAATTAATTTCTTTCTATTTTTAGTAGAGACGGGGTCTCGCTCTTGCTCAGGCTGGTTTCGAACTCCTGAGCTCAAACAATCCGCCCGCCTCGGCCTCCCAGAGAGCTAGGATTACAGGCGTGAGCCACCGCACCCGGCCCTGTTGCTTTGTTTTTGAAAAGAGTCTTTTTTTGAGGTACATTCTGAAATAGTTACAATGAAATAAAATGTTTGGGATTTGATTAAAAATAATCCAGTTTGGGGATGGGGAGGGGATGTTAGGAACAGGTGAGGATACAAATGAAATGACATGAGCCTCAAATTGATACTGGTAACGGGTGCATGGAGTTCATTACATTCTTCTCTCTATTTTTGAATATGTTTGACAATTTTCATGATAAAATTTAGTTTTTTAAAAATAGCTAATGAACATGATTGATCTGAAGTTTAGCAAAGAAGGGCAAATGGCTTTAAAAGATAAGCCAACACTAACGTTCTCAGTCAGGACTAGCATTGTCTTTTGTTTTTCCAGCTTTACTGAGATAAAATAGACAAAAGTGTACAAATGTAAGTTATACCACGTGATGATTTGATGTAGATATATGTTGTGAAATGAGTACCACAATCAAGTTAGCAAAGCTAGCACAGACACATAGACCAATGGATAGAAACGTGAGCCCAGAAACAAACCCACACATTTTCAATCAACTAATATTTCACAAGGGCACCAAGAACACATCAT